ACAATTTGATTTTACCGATTCGATTCTACCTTACTCACCGATTCAAAGTAGAATCCTGATTCTGATAACTTTGGTTAGTGGTATCCTTTTAATTGTTTGTATTAATGATATTAATGAGATTTTAATTTGTAAAACTAATCATATATACAAATGAAAAAGATTCCCCACGTATTATATATGTTGTGAGTTCTTAATATTGTGAGTTGAATGAAGATTGTGGGCTGAATCAAGTTTTTAAGGCAAATAAGAGCGAAAATTTTAAGAGTTATTAAAGTTTCATTTTTTTTATTTTTATTTTTTTTGTTCAGTTTCTAAATGTCAATTTATTACAAAGAGTAAATTACGCATAACAATTAAATGGAAATAATAGAGTGAAAAGGTTTTAATTATACCTTAGTGGGTTTTTTTTTTTTTTTAGAGACATTGCTATTTTAATAGAGCTAATTGGTTTGATTACATGGCAAACTTGATGACATAGCTAAATAAGAGGAAAAAATGACACGTGGCGGCATGGAAATTCTTGCCTTCGGGTTTTAATAATAATATTGATTAGCCTTTATTTTCAGTTATCTTCGGCTTATTTTCAGTTTATTTTCAATTCAGTTCTAATAACATATGAGAGTTATGGAAATTAATATAAGAACTGATCATGAACTGAACTGGACTTATTGGAGTTGAATTGAACTGAAAATAAGCTGAAGAGAACGGATTTTATGAGATTTACTAGACTTATAATTTGTCTAAACATAACTTATAAGATCTGATTAGCCTTGATTTTCATTAAATAAGCTCTAATAACATAGGAGAGTGAGGGATTTTATGAGACATAACCTGACAAATAATGACTTATAAACTCTAATGACATATGAGAGTGAGGGATAGCTCAAGTAGTCAAGTGGTTAGAGTTTTTCTCCCGATTTCATGAGATCCTGCGGTAGATTCTCATATATCTTGCCCTTAGCTTGTGGCACTCTAAACATTAAAAAAAAAAACAAATGGATAAGGGGTCTAAATTAAAAGTGAAAAAAAGTGGGTTAATTCATGCCAATTTAGAATATAGAGGTGTCAAAATTTGACCCAACCTAAAAAAAACGATATGAATTGACAATGATCTGTATCCGACCCATACCCGAAGAATAGGTGAAAATTAAACACTGACATGTAACCTGAAATGAAATAGACCCAGCATTAACTTCTAACCGACCTAATACTTTATAACCCGAACTCGATTAGTACTCTACGTAGCTTGTTTAAAACTTGAAATTGATTATGACTTGTCACAACGTGTTATCGACCCGAATGGATATTGACCGACAACCAATTTAACTTGACCTGACAATAATCTGAACCCGGAATAACACGTAACTTGATCAAATTTTAATATAATAAACATCTAACATAACATACTACTTACCTGAATCATAGTGATCAGCTTAGTGACCCATGATCCGTAACTCGTTAAACCGATATGTTTTGACTCAAAACTAATGTGGATTTCAATTTTTAATCAAAAGTTAGTTTGAAAATGTTATCAAATTTATCATAAATAAAAATTGTGAAATATTATACTTTTTATTTGACCTATTTTGTATGATACTCGACATGGCCGACCCTTATGGTGTATAGGGTGAGCTGTTGCTCAGGGCCCAAAATCTGATGGGGCCCCAAACTCTTGAATTTGACTATTTTGTTGCAAATATATTAAACTGCATAGAATTTGGCATAGTGGCAATACAACTATACTATATGTTTCTTGGTCTAGTGTTCGAATCCTATGATTATTCATATAAATTTTTTTATTTTATTTTTTTAAAATTTTTATTTGTTTTGATAATAAAAAGTCATCAATACATTTAATTAACTAAAAAAAATTGTGTTCTTGGCTTTTTTCCCATACTCCTTATCAAACAACTAATTGAAATTATTTAAGATTACCAAGGTAACTACACGACATGAGTCTAATTTTGTATATTGCGTATCTTTAATATAGAATATAAATAAATTAAAGGGCATATATTTTTCTAAATTGCACAAGGCCTCCATATTTATTGGGACGACCCTGATACTCGATTCCAAGAATGACCGACCAACTAAATTTGACTTGAGTCTAAGATTGACCAACCTGAAGTTCATCCGACCAAAATTTACCTGCTTCAAACTTGTCCATAACCCAACTTGATGCAAACAGGACACAAAACATTACCCAATCCAAAATTGACTCGAATTGAACCTAAACTGCAACCGAAACAATATAAAGCCTGTCATAATCTGAATCGAAATTGACCAATCCAACCTGAACCTGACTTGCACTCTCTTTGTTTTGTATTAATCGCAACACTTCCCATTTACATTTATTTCATATTAGTTGCACCATTTCTATATTTGGAAAGGACCCACCATAATTTCATAATTTTTCTCTCCCACTAACCTTACTTTTAAAAATATTTTATTACTCGTATTTCTTTTTCCTACCAACTCCACTTATACTACTTTTTTTATTATTATTTTTCTCTCTTACTAAGGGCCTGTTTTCTTCATCTTATTTTCAATTCAGTTCTTATCTTAATTTCCTTTTTTGTATAAAATATTTAGATCAGTTCAGCTCCAATAAGTTCAGTTCACTTTAGTTCTTTATTTCATTCTCTCATAAAATATTCAGTTCAATTCAGTTTAGTTCAATTCAGCTCCAATAAGTTCAGTTCAGTTCAGCTCAGTTCAGTAAATCAGAACATGCCCTAAGACCCCGTTCACTTTACCTTATTTTGCTGAACTGAAATAATATTTACTGAACTGAAATTATTGTTACTGAATTGAAAATTTTTTTCACTTAAATTATTTTTACTAATTTTCTGTTATATTATTTCTTTAAATTACTTTTTTTTTACTGAACTAAACTTATTTTTACTGAATTAAATTCATTTTTGTGAACTGAAATTATTTTTACTGATTATTATTTTTTTTAAGGTGAAGTGAACAGGGCCTAAGTTCCTAACAATGCTTTATATTATAAAAAATTTCTCTTTTAGGCCCCACCTTATAAATTTTCTTAAAATTTCTGAACACTCTAGCGTTGCGATTAGTACGAAATTGAAGGAGTAAGTCAGATTAAACAATATGATCTGACTTTAATTTGACCTGAAACTTGATATGACCTAACCTGAACACGACTTGAATATCCGATTTAACACTTCTAGCTATATAACGTAGTATATATTATTCAAAAAGGTCAAAATGAAAGATAAGCCTAATATAAATAATCTTCTTATATTCCAAATTAAATTAACGACAACAAAATTCCGTGAAGTAATCTTTCCCCTAACTACTCAATAATAGAGACAACCAGAAAACAAAAAACTAATGTTTAATACATACCAACTACAAAGTACTAAGTTGGATATATTGGTTGTCAAAATAAGGGCCTCTTCTGATACGATTATTTTCAGTTCAGCTCATCTCAGCTTTAATAAGTTCAGTTTAGTTCATTTCAGCTCTTAATTTTCTTCTCGTATAAAATATTCATTTCAGTTCAGTTCAGTTCAGCTCAACTCGGCTCTAATAAGTTCAGTTCAGCTCTAATAAGTTCAGTTCAATTCAGCTCTAATAAGTTCAGTTCAGTTCTGTTCAACTCAATTTAGTTAATGAGAACAAGCCATAAGTTGAATATATGGTTTTGTCAACACATTACAATGATGATTAAATTATTATGATTTTTTTATTAGAACTTCATAATCATTATAGTAGAAGATATGTAATAGAGCTTACCATTTTCAATTGTATAAAAATCCATGCACCATATTATATTATCATACTCACACAATCAAATATACCAAAGATCATTGATTTACTTTTCAAGGAATCAATTTCAAGCCAATCATAAATTCCACATGAGAAATATCATACTTGTGCTATAAAAGTGAAACGAGAAGTTGGGGGGGATTTTTTTTTTTCCTTTTTTGTGAAATAAACATTTATACCACGGTAGTTATATAGGAACAAAGGGAGTATAAAAGATTATAGTTTCAGGTCGAAACTAAATCAATTCCGCCCGAGAAATACCAAATCGAAAATGAAAAAGTTCGTAGGTATGGAGTATATAATACTCATTCAAATTAAGCACTACGACACTTGGTAATGGGGTTATAAAAAGGGATTCCAGCCAACTCACTTCCACTGTAAAAGAAAGACTGAAATTGATTGATCGCCTTTCACACCGTTGGAAGTCATGAATGTACACAAACTTTACCGTATATAATTGATGTGCACATGACACAATGCAATTATTTGGTCCTGTAAAGAAGTTGCTGATATGGTCCGCTTTCATCTTTAAGCTATCACCATATATAGTATATGTAGGTATTAGGACTTTTCAAGTTAAGTAACAAACAAGCAATTTCTACAAGTCCAAAAACACATCGAATACATGATACAAAGTACCCGGAAAAAGAAAGATGCAGGATGGTTGATATACTTCTTTCGTTTCTTAATACATGCAATAAGTGTACGTTATTAATTATACACTCAAAAGCACACCTTGTAGGCTTGTACCAAATAACCTTCACCGGGGAGACAACAAATAAGCCCCACTATCCCAGAAGGGAAGGAAAGAAAACACGTTCTACAATGAATTAAAAGCTTATATAAATAACAAGTTCTAGACAACCAGGGAAAAATAAATCAAAGGTGAGGCGAAATTAAGTCTGGAAAATGTTACTGAGTTACAAACCTGTCTATTTGGGTAGATATTAGGGGAAGCATGGGACGGGTACCCGTTCCGATAACGTTATTGGTTCGGGTACCCGATAACCGTTAAGGCTAAAACCGATTCCCGAAACCGTTCCGATAAGGTTCGGGTACCCGTAAATTCGGATACCCGAAAATACGGGTACCCGAACCAAATATCCAAACCGAACCAATAAGCTGATTTTTTTTTTTTTTGGTCTTTTTATTTATTTAAAACCTGCTTTGCAATTCGTTTTTAGATGCTTTTTAGTTTTTACTAGTTTTTTTTTTTTTACTTCCTATTTTTTGAACTATAACAATTGAACTTAAATACACAAATAACAAAAATAATTACAACTATCGCTGTCTTCCGCTTTGGCAACCTACCAGTCCCTGTCCTTGAGGCTGCTGCCTCCTCACCTCTCCTACTTGGCTGCCTGAACTCCTCCTTGTACCCACCTGCTTAATAATATTTTTGTCCGAACTTCCACCTGTTTTTCTAGTATTAATTATTGTTATTAGTACTATGATTTTTTTTGTAACAAATAACAGCCTAATAGGCTGATATTTAAACCTGAATACACATATAACACAGCACTCAACCCGATTACAAATGAACAAAATACTTGATACAAACATACTGTTTCTTTAAAAAAAAAGTCCATAATTAACAATAATAAACCAATACATAACAAAAAAAAAGTCCATAGTTTATAGTTTTAAAACAAAAACAGTCCATAGTAATCATATTTCATAAAATACTCCAAGCCTTCAATGACTTCCGGCCTTCAATACAATCACCACCAACCTTCATGATTATAAGTTGCTGCCTCTAATCAATTAATCATCATCAACAAAGAGAGAGTGTTCCTCACCAAGAGGTAACATTTCTTCAAAAAAAAAATTAAAAAAAAGTAAATGAATAATTAACAAGATAATGAGATTAAAAAAAAAAAGAGAAAATATTTAAATGTTACCTGATTCAATTTTTTCCATATCTTCAAGTCTCTCCTCAAGTATAAGAGGACCTTGAGATGTATGTAACCAATCTTGTGCACAAATCAAGGCTTCAACCATCTTAGTTGAGAGTGAGCTGCGAAATGAATCAAGCACTCGACCACCGGTGCTAAAAGCTGATTCGGAAGCGACTGTTGATACGGGAATGGCAAGTACATCTCTAGCCATGAGAGCTATTGTTGGATACCTTTCACCATATTTTTTCCACCACCCCAAACAATCAAAGCTTTTTCCGGCGAGATTAACTTCTCTATCATCTTCTATATACTTGGCCAACTCATTTTTCCCTTGTACTCCAACACATAAACCCACCTGCCTTTCAAACTCTAATTCCGCAACATCTACATCAGAATCCATATCTTCTACTTCCTCTGAAAAATCAGAAGTTTTAGGGAGAATAGACTCATTTGGAGGGTTTTCAGAAATATAAAGTTCATACATGTCATTCAGAGTTTGCATCACTTTATCACACAAGTACTTAGCTTTTTCAGAATCATATTGTTGATTAATTGCCCATTTAGTATATCCCATTTTCCGCCTAGGATCAAGAATGACAGCAATATACCACAAGAGATTCACATTATCAACATTTTCCCAATACTTGTCATGCTTTTTCTTCATTCCACTAGCCATTAAACTCACCCCCGCATCATTACTCAACATTTTTTTCTTGATTAACACTAATCCCAACAAGTTCTTGTAAATACACATTAGAGGTGATATACAACGAGCCGGAAACTCGTAGAGTAGCATCATAGAATACTTTAAGTAAAGGAAGAAAAGAGGCAACACGATCCCAATCACTAGGTTCAGGCACCCCGCCTGTCTTAAGTAACTCATACCTAAATTTACCACCATCTGAACATTCAAGCAAATCAAAAGCCCTACGATATGCCAAAGCACCTTCCAGCATTAAAAAAGTGGAATTCCACCTAGTATCCACATCTAAACAAAGAAAACGTTTTGACTCCAACTTTTCTTGTTTAACACAACTCATGAACTTTTGCAATCTAGCACCCGATGATCTTACATACCTAACAGCACAACGAATTCTTTTTATTGACACATCACTTTCTTCCTTCTTTAACGGTTAAACTTAATATGTGAGCACAACATCTCATGTGTAAAAACCGACCACCCAAAACTAATGTCTTCCAACTTTCAAACCTTCTTTTCAAATATTGAATGCCAACATCATTTGAACTTGCATTATCTACAGTGACAGTCATTACTCTAGAAATACCCCATTCAAGTAGACACTTTTGGACAGATTTACCAATTGTTTCACCAGAATGACCAGCAATTATACAAAAGTTAATTATTTTTTTATGCAATTTCCAATTTTGGTCAATAAAGTGAGCGGTTAAACACATGTAATTCATATTTTAGCAAGAAGTCCAAGTATCAGTGGTGAGACTTATACGTGAAGTGCACTTACTAAAAAAACTTTTTCAAACTTTTTTTCTCATCCAAATAAATCCTAAAACAATCTCTAGTCACTGTCCATCGAGAAGGAATAATGAAAAAGGGTTGCGTTACCTTCATAAAGTTGCGAAAACCTTCATGCTCCACCATTCTAAAAGACATTTCATCCATGATCACCATCTTTGCCAGAGCTCTCCTACTATCTTCTTGATTGAATTTCCACGGCTCAAGTCTACCTTTTTTTTGATCCACGAGATTCCCATCAAGAGTTTGTTGACTAAGGGACAATAGTTGCTGATTTTGATCAATGTTAGGGGGGTATTCCTTACGCTTTATGTGGTTCTTCATGCCGGAGGTACCTTGAAGTGATGCACAACCAATGAATGTATGACAATAGATACATTCAGCCTTGTTTTCTCCATCCTTCTTTATAAAATGCTCCCAATGAGGAGAGCGCCTTTTTCTAGATTTTTTTGAAGTTTCACTTAAAGGGGCAGCAGCATCAGCAGGTTCTGAAGGTTGGTTTGATTGATTTTGCTGGTCAAAGGGGTCATTATTTTCCGTCATTGGACAAGGGTCATACTCCCAAGGCTCGGGAAGAGGACTTGGAATTGGAGGAGCTTGACTTGTAGCCGATGAGTCTTCCATATCCCCACTACTTCCAGATTCCATACACTCCTACAAATGAAAAAAAAAAAAAAAAAAAGTTCAATTATGTATACACAAATAACAAGAATGAGTCATAGCTATATGAGGGTTGAAAGGGTGAACATCTAGGACATATGTCTATTAGAAACAAACAGGACAAAAACTTTTCCACGTCACACAAATACACAATCATAAAATCTCAGACAAGCAAGTGAAATAAAAAAAACTATTGGTACAACTACACCATATAATCACTCTGTGAGCCTTGCAGTACCTTAGGCAAGTATTACTGAAAATGAGTCCAAAAGATGATGTACACAGCCACACAAGTTACTGTTAAACCAAATTCTGTTAAACCATACATTGACAGATTTAACCCGAGTAGAAGCAACTAGATAAATCATATTGGACTACATGATTATCATATTGGACTACAATAAATCTTAAAATGCTTTCTTAAAATGCTTGATAGATTACTTATATTGCACTACAGATTAACGTTTTCTTAAAATGCTTGTAATTAACTCATGTTACAATAAATCATATTGGACTACATGATTATCATGTACAACTCTATAGATGCTCAACACACAGGAAGCCATCACACAACACTATAGATGCTCAACAACATTAGTACACAGCAACTATAGATGCTTAGCAACATCACACAACAACATCACTCTGAATCCTTGTTTTTTCTCAACAACCTTATTTCCACATCAAAAACAGAAATCTCACCTTACTCACTCATCTAAATCTAACAGACACAACTTGACAAAAAATAATAAAAAAAAACCTCAATTCTGAAAACCATAATAAGTACCATTCCTCCCAAAAAAAACAAAAAAAAAATTAATAGTACCACAATAAAAAATCAGGAAAAAAAAACAATTACAAATCCGAAAAAACCACAGATAGTCGGATACTATAAAATGTAAATTACCTCAACAGTTAGCTCAAAAGCCGCTTCAATGGAGAGCCGAAGTACGCTTCAATGGAGGAGATGAAGGAGTGAAAGCTCAGAGCCGCTTCAATGTAGGAGATGAAGGAGTGAAAGCTCAGAGCCGCTTCAATGTAGGAGATGAAGGAGTGAAAGCTCAGAGCCGCTTCAATGTAGGAGATGAAGGAGTGAAAGCTCAGAGCCGCTTCAATGTAGGAGATGAAGGAGTGAAAGCTCAGAGCCGCTTCAATGGAGAAGTCGAAGTACGCTTCAATGGAGGAGATGAAGGAGTATAGGCGTATAGCTCAGAAGCCGCTTCAATGGAGAAGTCGAAGTACGCAGAGCCCTAAATTGAATCTGTGATCTGTGAAATTAAAACAAGAGTTTAAGTTTAATTGAATTTAATCAATTCATTGCAAATAATTAGATCTGGCAAAGGGATAATTAGTTAATTACCTGAGGACATTAGGAGATGAAGGAGTGAAAGCTCATAGCCGCTTCAATGGAGGAGATGAAGGAGTGAAAGCTCATAGCCGCTTCAATGGAGGAGATGAAGGAGTGAATGGAGAATGGAGAATGGAGATTAGAGAACCAGAGGCAGAGACATTAGAGAAGAGGAGGAGAGAGAGGGGGATGGAGGCTGAGTGAAGTGAATGACTGAGAAATGAGAAAAGAACGAAGTTTAGGGTTTTCACTTTTTTTGTTCTTTATTTTCTGTTTCTTTTTTTTCTAAAAAAAACTGACATTATTCATTTGAGATTTCGAAAAAAAATATTTTCGGGATATTCGGGTACCCGAAACAGTGTTAACGGGTACCCGTTACCCGAACCGTTAAATTCTTATCGGTTCGGTTACCCGACCCGTTTTCTTTAAACGGTTCGGGTACCCAATTTTTCGGTTCGGTTACGGTTCGGTTTTTTCGGGTTTTCGGTTTTTCGGATAGTTTTGCACAGCCCTAGTAGATATTACCCTTTTCCTAGATCAGCAGATATTGCATCAAGATCTAATAAAATTTGGGGAGAAACAAAAAAAACAAAAAAAAAAAATAGAAAAAGGGTACACAAAATACACCAAACTCCAGGCACCCATATATATAAATACATAAAGAAAAGGGGAGAAAAAAAATTTAGAGTTGGAATTAAATTACATCACACAAACCTAATTATCTATGGACAAGTTCTGTTCAAGTCAATTATTGCATAGAATCGACGCTCTTGCTCAACTCTTCCAGTTTCTTCATCCTCAACCTCTCGCTTTCGCCCACCAGCTGCAAGACCATCCAAGAAAGGAAAGCCAACGTTGTCAAGTGTAAGTACAACGTAACCTCAAATGTAAAGAAAGATAATTACACAACTCTAACATTCATGTAGGGAATAGTTTACCTCAACCAGTTTGTTTATGAGCTGTACTTTTTCTTTGTTCTTCTCATTGAATGCATCCAGCGCATCTTTGTATTCTTTTTCCTGTCAAAAGATAGGTTTCAAGGGCAATGAGTGATTGATACATATTAACTGACAGTTCTTTCAAAATTAAAATCATATTAATACTGCATTTGCTCCCACCATCCCACCATTAGAAATCAGTACTCCGTAGTTGATTTTCTCGACCCCTCTTTAACAGTCATAAATAACGATATAACAGTCATTAATAGTTGTCTTTTCTATCTTATATCTGATCACTTAATTTAAATAGAGGCATGATATGAAATCCAATAATAAAACCTAAAGATGACACCTGCAGTAGAATCTTTAGCTGTATATGTAATATGAAAATATTAACTCTAACTTTTCCCCGATCACTTAATTTATATAGAGGCATATTAGGAAATCCGATACTAAAACATTGCAACTGTTATGAAAGGTGACACTTTTTGCTAGTAGGAACTTATAAATGTACATATAAATGTGACTTATCAATTCTAAACAGAGGGAGCGATATCTATAAAAACTTAACAATTTGTGAGGATTTTAAGATATATTGGAAGTAGAATGAATAGGTACCTTCTTTTGGACATTTGTACCAAGTGGCTTTAGCTCTTTGTTAACCACATCTATCCTTTTACGCACAACAGACACATCCTTCCGCATTGGATCCGCTAAGGCTTCAAGCTCCTGCAGAATCATGATATAGAAAAACATTAACTACATTCAGACAGAATTTGTGTACAGGAACACAAGACCGACAGAATAAGTGATACACTGAGTATAATTCAGCAGACAACACAGACTGATCAACTATAAATTACGAGAATAAAGTATCTAGTTTTTGCAAATAAATTACGAGAATAAAGTATCTAGTTTAAAGTTTTCATAATATTTCATTGGCAAGCATCTTCAACTTCCATCTTTAAACCTCCAAGGAACACAGATCCACATTAGAAGACCAGCAACTAGAAAAAACTTTGAAAGAAGACACTTCAAGATTAGCATAAGTACTCGAAAACAATGTTAAGAGTGTATGTATATTCAATATTTTACGTGATTTATTTGTGGCTGATGCAGCAGGGTAATTCAAACATTATTAATCACAAAATTTAATGTTACTATCACTTTTAACCATTACTAGCAAATCATTTTCTTTCCATTTTGCCTTCCTTCACCCCTTAATTCTCTCAATAAGGAATTATATGATGGGAATAAACAGTTACCAAATACGTAGTAATTCAAATTGATGAAAGTATTGATGAAAGTACTAATCCAACACACTAGGCTGGTTTTTCTACTATTGTTGCACTACATTATTTACTGAGATTACAATTGTCACATGCAGATATATCGAACGAAGCCGTATACACCATCCCAATCCTTCATACTACGGCGAAACAAGTCAGATAACCTAATAGCTCAAAATAGCCCGAGTTCAATCACGTCTTGAACTAGGTTGTTGAGCATTTCCATTTGCGAATAAGGAAAGTATCCAAATAAAGATAATTACTTCACTTCTCAACTAACCAAGTAGAAAATACAAGAAACAAACACTCTCATATTTTCTCAGCTTTCAGCCAAAAGAAAAGGTATAGTATAACCTCTAATTCTCGTCAGATAGACGTTGATAATTGCTAAAGGACAACCTGTCAATTCCTCTACAACGGTAACAACTTGCAGATAGAATTGGAATATGAATTAAACGGAAAATACCAACAAAAATAAGGCAATTAAACCTTTCTACCTAATTCAAACTACTCTAGTTCACAAGGTAACAGAATTCCCCTTTTTGATTATGCTATAACAAAAGAAAGATCCCTTAAAATTCGATATTTTTCAACTTAAAACAACGGTTATAACACTAATTTCATCTTTCAACTTAAAACAAGGGTTATAACACTAATTTCATCAAACAAAAACCCGGGTTTAACGTATTTCTACTCACTATGTTACTCGGACTCGTCTAGAAGTGTTTGAAACGGCCATCTTACTAAAATTATGCATGATTCTAGTCATATAAACATGTCCGAGTGTCGAGTATCCGATACGGGTATCTTACTCCACAGATCTAGCAAATTACACTGTAATACATATCCTAAAAGGTAATAATTTGAAATTTAAACCCACAAAAGTCAAGAATTCATGAGTTTTAAGACGGGTTTTTCCGTCTATCAACAAAAAACAGTAACAAAATAAAAACAATAATTAAGCCCTAGAAAAAAGGGAACTAGCAGAAAAAAAAGTATAGAAACCCAAAAATGGGTTTGTCATTTTGTCGGTTTATTTGCAAATTTACAACTAATAAATGGAAAGAATTACACACAATTTGAAATTTTACTAGATGTATAAGACCGTTACGAAAAAATTTCAAAATTTTTTAAAATTAAAAAAAAAAAATTATTTGTTTCCCCAAATAATAAAGAAAAGCCCAGCTTCAAAAAAAACCCCACAAATTCAACACAAAAAAGGAGAAAAACAGAGAAATAAAAACATGGGTAAGTAAGATTAACACCTAAAAATGGCAGAAATTTTAGAAATTAAAAAAAAAGAGGAGAGAGAAAGTGAAGGTGACCTCACGAATCAAAGCCAAGCGTTTAGTCTCTTCTTCAACACGACCAAGTTGAGCCTGAACACGTTCACGAACTTCCATCTTCTTCTTCTCGATCTCTTCTTCTTTAGCCCTAAAATTGGACAAAGCAGAGCGAGTGATCTCTTCATCAGCCATATTCATGTTAGTAGAACTGTTGAAGCTCAGACTTCCGGAATTGGTGATGCCCTGAATCGTCGGAAGCGGCGGCGGTTGCGGCGGCGCGTGCTCGGATTTCTGCATAGTTGACGGCGGTGGTTGGTGTTGTGGTTCAACTTCAACGGTTGTTTTATCAACGGCCTTATTTTTCTCTCTCTTATTGTTTGTGTTGTTTCTCTCTCCTGGACAGAGACCACAGAGGAAGCCTCCGTTAGTCCTTGAATTCTCCACTTTATCTTTTTTTTGGTGGGTCGACTTTTACTTTTTTATGTTTTTAGAGAGAGAAAGTGAGGGAAGAGAGAGAAAGTGAGGGTTTTGTTTTTGCTTCTTTTTTGTGCCCTGTTTGGTGATCCGTTTAAACAAAGTTTGGACAAATAGTGTGGTGTGGATGGAAATGTGGGTGAGAGGGTGAAGAGGGGAGGGCTTTAAAGACTAAAAAAAATTGAAAGTTAGGCTGTAAAAAATATATAAATTAAATAATAAATAAAGGGATAAATAGAAAGAAAAAAAAAATAAAGGGATTTGAAAAGTATTGTGAATGAATGACACCTTGGCTTGGAATATTTAAATGTTTGTTGCTAGTGTTACTTTGGTAGGATTTTATTTGATTATGATCAACTACCCTCAACCCCTCTTCCCAAAAAAAAAGTTTTTTTAAGAACAAACTAGAGAGAGTGTGAGGGATTAAAGCATTAAATTTGAAAATGTCTAATCCAATGGGAGCAATGGTAGATCTCTTTTCTTTAAATCAATTATTGAAAATTCAAGTGTACATTGTGTTTCGCTTACTTGTTATGGAGTACGTATGTTTTTAAAATGAGATGTATATAATTAAAGTTAGATGTATGATCACTCTCGTTGGATTTGTGATATCGAATAAACCTATTAAATGTTCATTTTTCATAAATTGACATAATTTTTTTCATTATTGAATATTGTAATAAATGTGTAATATTTATTACAATAAATGTGTAATATTTACGAATTACAAAATTGAAGTAATTCCTCACTACATTCCACAATAATTGATATAGTCCAAATGTCACAAAGTTAATGGAATTTTTGTAAAGATAATTAATGTTTCAGGGAAGTTGATTGTTATACCAAAGTAGGCACATTCAAATAACTACTCCCTCCACTCATTTTTTTAATCCTCTCATTTACATTTTGCACGATCTCAACTATTAATATATTTATTTTCATATGTGTACAGAGATTAAAAACTTAACTTAATATTATGAAACTACTTCATTTAGAAAAAATGTTATACACAACACTATGGCTATATATGAGGAGCTAAAAAGGGAAAATACAAATGAAAATATAACATTAACTACATTGATTTTGTGCGTCATTTTGTCATGCATTTCTAAATTAATACCATCGTAAGGATATATATTAAATGTTTATTCTTACCTTTATGGGCTACATATAGCATTGTGATTTGCTAAATATCACTAACGTTTTTTTTTATCAAACTACCAACAAAAGTAATGAAGGAACAAAACTACCCTTACTCATCCCCACTTTGCTTTCTCTCTTCTAAGTCCATCAAAACTCAAATTCAATCATCAATCACCACAAAAGCAACCACCACCGCCACCACGACCTTGTCCACCATCACTACCCACAATCACCAATTCAAGAGGTACTATTTTTTTTTTTTTGTGTGTTGTCGGAACCACCAACAACAGTCAACGACCATCGAAAAATTGATGACTCATTACCACCTTCCCTCATCGACGGGAAGATGGTGATTTTTTAAATTTTTAACAACTAGCACAACTACAGCGCAAAACTAGTCAATTGGCTTGGTGACCGATTTCCACTGCCGGTTGACCATGGTTGATTAGCGTCCAAAACGGTTATTGCGATGTTTAATAGGTTTTGTGTGCTGGTGATGAGCGCCATTGATTATTGAAAAATCGGAGGTAACGAACTGGTTTTTCCGACCACCGTAATGTCAGTTCATCACCTCCGATCATCGCCACAGCTGCCCTTCCACCTACAACGTATGAGCGCTACTTCCCATCATATCTGATGTACAACCGCTATTGTGGTTGATGATGGTTGGGAAGTGGTGGTTGTAGCCCTTACGCGTGATGAAAGAGAGAAAATATGAAAGAGAAAGAGGAAGAACGATGTGGGGTATAGTAATTAGGGTATTGGTGATTGTTAGCGGTGTTTTGTGTTAAACACCTTGATAGGCGTGTCGCGTACCTAACAAAAACTAGACCACTACTATGTAGACGGGCAAGCAAGGGTCGGATCCCAAGAGACTATGGTTCAACTAATTAAATAGACTCAAGCAATTACTAAGCAAATAACCAAATAAAATAAGTAAGAATCAATATCTAAAAAACTAATTAAAACGATTAAATCTAAACAATATGACAATTCAATGCTAAAAACATCCAAGATCAAGCTTCACCACGAATACAATTAATGCAATAGTCGTTATACCCCTAACACATAATTCAATTGATTAATGAAGAAAAATAATCTAAGAATAATACCAATGGTCTCACCCGAGTTATCAATGGCTTCTCTAATCACAGTCAAGCCTAGCTACTTCCGTGGAATCATGTAAATTAAAGACCTTAAGCACATTACTCTAACTTTCTAATCATCCATTCAACTACTCCCGTGATGAACTTCAAACCCTTAATTGATTTATTCAAATCCGTCAAAACCCAATTCTCGTTGTGATTAAAACAATGGATTAATAACAATACCAATTATCCCTAATCTAGTATTGGCATAAGAATAATCAATTAAGCATATCAATTACAATTATTATTAGAGAATTTAAAGAATTAATTCATGCATTAATCATATTCGGCTTCCGCTAGATCTTGGAATAAGAAAACTATTCACACATATTAACGAAAGCAAAAACATTATTTAATGAAGAAAACATGATTAATAAGCAATTAAAAGTAAAAGAAGAATTAAAGATGAATACCAATTGCTTGAATGAAGAAAAGTACCAATTGTTGATGAATAAAGATTAAAACTTGAAAGTGAAATGTAATCTAGATCTAGAGAGAATATTAGGGTTCTAATGAAGGTTTAAAAGCTAGAATATAATAACTAAGTATGTTTTAGTCGGGGTTTACAAAGGGTATTTATATCCCTTAGTTAAGAAATCCCGAAAAAAATAGGAAAACGGGGTCTTCGACACTCCGCCCGGTCTGACCGGGCAAGGCTGCCCGGTCGGGCGCGCGAAGCAACTCCTTTTTGCGCTTCTTCATATGGCCTCTATTGTACAATTCTTTGTTTGCCCGGTCTGCCAGGGCAATGTTGCCCGGTCCGGGCGGACAAAAGCTAAATCTTCATACTTCCTCTATTGTGACTTCTCTTCTTTCCTTCTTCGCCCTGGCTACCATGGCAATGTTGCCCTCCAGGGCGGACACGGGTAAAATTCTCCTCCATCTTAATAAGCTTTCGTGGCTATCCAAAATAAGTCCAAATCATCCGGAAATCTTCATATGCCTACAAAATCAATCAAATAGACCAAGCCACACTAGAGAGGAGGATATTAGCGAGAAATAGCTCCGTAGAGCTTAGAAATCATACGAACATAGCTATAAAATGAGGGTAAAATATGGTATAGAATGTGTACATCACACCTCACATTGCATTTTCATTTTTTTTAAAAGCAACGAAACTACTTAATTAACGATACTAAATAACTATTCAATATACTTCATCTTATAAATAAATTACAGATTACCGTCAAAAAATTTAAAATTTGACCAAATAAACAATTAACGAAAAGGTTTTATTTTTTTAAAAAATATAAATAAATAAAAGGGTAGTCAGGGTTTCATCCACATAAAATCACAAAGTTAAGAAAAATTTGAGTTGGTCACTTCACTTGGTTGGTTTTATTGAATATATTTATAGTTAATTAAACCCAAATAATTGGATGTATGGCCACTCTCTTTAATCATAAAGGTTGACATTATTTTCATTAACCCCTACCTTATTGAATAGATCAGATATTTGGTAATAGTAATAAATTATAATGTTTCCAATAACATCTATACATTTTTTATCAATATATTTCTTATTAATCTTATAGTCTGTCTTAACCATGTGGTTCCAGAACTCAAATTTTATCAACTTTTAAAAATAATAATAATAATAAAATATCACCTCACTAACTTTTATCGCTATATCAATTTTGTTTTCAAATATATATTTGTCCATTGTCACGTCTAACTATTGTATTTTATGAGTTTTAGAGACGGTTTTAATTTACTGAACTAAATATTCTGTGAGAGAAGAAAATTAAAAACTGAACTGAAATAAATTGAACTGGAAATAAGTTGAAGAGAACATAATTTAAATAGTTTTAATTACCAAATTATCAAGGTGGTGTGACTTGTGTCATTATCAAAGCATTTTTTTTTAAAAAAAATGTAGTACATGATATTGGAAAAAATAAAAGAGAATGATAACAGTACTGTTATTAATTTACAAAATGGGGGGATGAGGGTTGAAATGACCCAACTGCCAGGCATTCACACATTGAGTGCTGGGCGAGTTTGTCCAAGCTATGTACTCACTATACTACAAATTTTACATTAATTAATTAAAATTACTTTTACAACTTTTTAAAAACATAAAAACAACCAAATATTAGCGCATCATCTGCATACCACATGAAATTAAAATTCTTAATTTATTATTTTTAAAATAAAAAAGTCCGTACAGTAGTCAAGATATCTTCAATCTATGTCACCGTTGCTACTTGCTCAACATGTTTTTGCGAAAGGGTTTTTCCTATTCAATTAGGGATGTCAGTGGGGCGGATCAAGTAGGAGACCCGCCCCATCCCCGCCTCAATGGAGCGGGGATGGGTCTCGGTTTGGCGGGTGGTGGGGCGGGGATGGGGATAAAAATCATACCCGCCATGGGTGATGGGGCGGGGGTGGATTTTAAGTTGTACCCGCCCCACTTCGTACCCGCCCCACTTCGTACCCGCCCCATACCCACATCTATATATCTTTTAAACCAAAATTACATACTTTTATTCTATTTATAAAATAATTACATGAAATACAATATTAATTATAATACTTTGTACGACATTTATATTATAACACAAAAATGTGTATATAATGCTTTATTTTATAATTCGTATTAATTATGTAAGATTGCGTATTTGATATACGGATATTAGGTGGATCTTGGGTGGGGATTAGGCAGGTTTTTGGTGGGGATTAGATGGGGATGGATATCCAAGTGGGGGGTGGGGCGGGGATGGTTTTGGAGTTGTACCCGGTGGGGCGGAGATGGGGATGAAAATTGGACCCGCCGCGGGGATGGGGATGGGGATGAAAATATTAGGTGGGAATGGGGATGGGAAGGCCAACATCTGCCCCGCCTCGCCCCATTGACATCCCTATATTCAAC